ACACCTCACCACCAGCCGACTGATAACTTGCCCCCCCTCAGCCCGACCAAGCACCAACCGATACCTCCTCCAACCCCGCAGCCTCCCAGCCCTTCCGGCTAACTCCCAGTTACATCCTGGGCATGACGTGCTGTGGTATGGAATACCTCTTTGGTCAGTTTGGGTCAGGTGTCCTGTCTCTGCTTCCTCCTGGCCTCCCTTCCTCCCTGGCAGAGCATGAGGCTCACAAAGTCCTTGGCCAAACCAAAACATCGCTATCAGTTCTGTTCCCAGGCCGAAAGTCAAAACACTGCACTGCACCAGCTACCAAGAAGGAGTAACATGACTGCTACTGCTGAACCCAGGACACTGTGCTAGAAGGAAGTGTGCCTTCACAAAAAACTATGATAGCTGTTTTTACACGTGGAATTACATGGATTTTTGGAATGCAGACCAACCTTCAAAGCAATAGAAGAATGTAAAATAAAAGGCTGAGTTTGCTTGGAGAACCTAGAAGATGGGAATATTCTTTAAAGTGAAACAGACTGTGATTTTTTTGTCCTTCTTGACTTCAGCAGTCCAAGCCTAAATGAACAAATAAGCTTTTCAGATAAGGCTCCCAGAAAGGTCTAGCTACTGAAAACAACTATGAATCTTCAGTATAACTTAACACATTTCATACTCCTGGCTGTTGCTCATGTGTAAATGCAATTTTTCCTTGCCCAGAATGCAACTCAACTGTAAAGCAAATGTGATTACTTTCACAAGTGCCACAAAGCAAAGTAGTATTACGTAAGGTACAATATATTAAGAAAACCTGTCCCTAGCAGAATGGTCAATTCTTTCTGCACAATTAATAAACTATACTCACAAGCATTATGTAGAGATAAAGTTTACATTCTAAAAATCGTATTTTATATCAAGCAACCATTGACAAGGAAAGGTTTACTGCCCAAAGACCAAAACTAGATTATGACCTTTTCTATACTTACAATTCCTTTTATAGTATGCATTTACAAAGTAAACAGATAAGCATTATACTTTTGTACTGTTTATGACCTCATACTGTTTGGCCATTTGCATTTCATACTGTCCAGCTAACATACAAAATCAAAGTGTTTGCACAACTGGTTGCATTTGAAAATTAACACCATTCTGAGATAAATATGGGGTTTGGTGTCTCAGAACTTTCAAACACTTTGTCTAGAAACTCAACTTGCCACTCCGTCTCTAACTTCCTACAACTTTAATAACAACAACATAAGTACATATTTATTCCTCACTGCCCATACCCTCAAGGGGGGCAGGGGCCTGGGGGAAGTTACCTTTTATGTTTTGACTGGTTTGTGGGTCCTATACCTTGTCTGAGGAGCCAAAACCACATTTTAAGCTCTTAACACCTACTGTGCAGTCCAAGTTCCATTGAGTTCCATTGAACTTGAGCATAAGAACTGCTGGACAATGTGAATATTTGAAGATGCCTATTTGAGAGCGATGCACTGGAGTTCTAACCAACTCTCAGAGTACAATATGTAATTATTGTCATAATATATGCTCCACTTATGAAAGATCTAAGTCCTTTTGCAGCTTAACATTTAAATTAGTGAAATTTAAACACATTTGGTAGAGTCCCTGGAAAGAATGAAATTTAAGTAAGTGGCTATGTTTTATATGATAATTCACGTAAAATATGAGTGCCCACAAAAGAAGGGAGTAATACTCCTTCCCCAGTACATAATACTAACACAATAAACATTTTTATATATAGCAAATTTCTAATGGTTACTTCCTTCATTGTATTTTTTTCTCTTGAGGATACTTTAGTTCATATTTTAGATATATTTTTTTTAATATAAGCAATACAGACTGCTTTTGCCTTAATTGCCACAGCTTAAATAATATTGTTATTTCTTGGAAAGTCAGTGCTTCTAAAAAGGGGAGGAAGAGACCTGTTTACAAGTCACTCTGGCTTTTGTCCAGCTGATCAGTTTGTGTGCTTTTAAGTGTATTTTTGCAGTACCAACAACAAAAATAGAAATTAAAAAGCGGAGGGTGAAAAAGCAACCATCAAGCACTCACCAACTTGGCTATTAAGAGTTGAATGTTATTCATTATAGTTCAGTGTTATAAAACAGAACAGTAAGGCAAAGGGTAAACACACAGCAATCAGCTGCAAATCTACTTAAGCAAAACAAAACACAAGCTGGCAGATGTTGCCTTAATGACTTAAGTACTTGCTTTGGCTGAACTATTATCAACAGGCAAAGTGGAATTTTAGTGTTGGTTGCCTGCCTGTTGTTTTACTAATCTGGTTTGTGGAAACTGAGGTTTCACATTTTTTACAGTGACACACAATCCTGATACTGATGGCAGGTGAGAGGAAAATCAGTTTAAAAGAATGTAAGCCAATCTTAATTTCTCTTTTAGGCCATTTAAGGTAAGGATATAGGAAAAATAAATTAAAATCTTTAGCAGAATATGTCTTCTTGGCACTCAAGACATTAACAAACAATGATAAAATAATTTCTAAAATATTAGAGAAATTGTCAAGACCATTATTTGGAATATATTTCAACATCAATGCAATGCCAGTGAGTCACCAGTACACTACTTATGATCTAGATGAAAATAACACTCACTGATATATCTGATATCATTGTATATGCAACTTGATGGAGAACTAGCCTTCCTTGGAGCCTGTGACAAAAGAGTTCATATGTCTTTCTCTATGGAGTATTATCTTATGGCTCCAAAGGTCCCCACCAACCAGAAATAATTTGCTTTACTGTATGCAATAACCTGAAATCTGAAGCACAGATGGAGGTAAAAATAAATGACACACATCCCCAGTGCAGAACAAATTGGCATTTAAGTAATTCAAAGGCCAATGGATTCCACCTTCTCTTTACACAGAGCTGCTGATCAAAAGAAATCTGGGTGGTTCTTTCAAAGCCTCAACCACGAGCTGCTCCATGCGCAAAAAGCTTGGCTACTGCTTCAAGCAAACCTGGAAAATCTAGAGGTGCAGAAAATCTTCCAAGTCTTTTGCTGACTTGATGCCTTAGTATGTCTGTATTTATCAATGTCTCACATAAGACAGACAGAAATGTGACACAGCCCCTAAGGAAGCTTATCAACTACTGTTCACAGCATGATTCTTTTCCAAGTTCTCAAATCATGAAAAGCCTTACAAAAATTATATACAAAGCACTGAATTAAAAAAAAAAAATAAAAAAATAGAAAGGCAGTAAAGTCATACAATAAAAAAACTAGGAAACTCTGATTTTACAGTTACCTGCTCAGGCTCAAGCCTATGCTTTTGTACTTCATATTGAGAAATGTCAACTCAGTCACCTAACAGCTCTCTTCTAAGACATAAAACACTTTCTACAACGATTCATCAAATGCATAAGCTGTGAGCAAGTCTGTAAGCTTTGTAGAAGCTTGCAAGGAGTGTTTCGTGGAGAATTCATACTCTCTGTTAGCCTAGTACTTGGCTGAGCCCTTGCACCAATGGCGATTCTCACATTTAGCAAACATCAGACACACTTGTGTTTGTGCTTGAATCATTAACAGATTTAAGGACACTCTCAGCTACAATTGCTAATTGCATCTACAGCAGCTACAGACACATCCTGGACTTCAGGATTACAAAGCCATCTCACCACAGGGGTTGTAGTTATATATAGGGACAAAAAGTAATTTCCTTCCATTCTCCCTTGTAACCTTTTGAGCTAATGATTTTACCTACTTATGGAAAATACTTGAGCATTTTGAAAAATGTTGAGCATTAGATACCAAGCCTTTCTTACTCAGGAACAGATGTGTCCATCTGCCTGTTTTTAGCTTTCTGTTTTCACAGAAAGCAAAAAATTTTTTTTAAGAAAACATGGCTACTATGACTATGCCCCAAATGGCTACAATTATATAGGAGAAATGCAGTCAGATACTGTTTATACTAATTTATGCGTTATTGATCATGTTAAAAAAATATTCAAGTTATTATGTGGACATCAACGGCATCTCTCATTTGAACAGGATCTTAAGTCAGTGGTGAGTCTGCTTCAGAAAAAAAGTGCTGTTTAAGTTACTCATTTTTATGAATATCAACTTTATATAAATATTAATCAAAAAGTGTGAATAAATTTCTGTAGCTATCAGTGATTTAAGTAACTTCCATTATACAAGAAGATCTTCTGAATTTACTGAATATTTAACTAAACTGACTTTCCTGGCCTTGTTCACAGACTTTAATTAAAAACATATTCAGATCCAGTTCAGTTCTTGTTTCAGTTACAAGCAATAAAACTTAATCCGACATAGTAATTAAAACAACTTTGATTTAAATTTTATGTATGTCATCTAATGTGCAATGTTTTAAAACCCTAACTATTATAAAAAATGCTGACTTTTATTCTTCAATATGTTCTGATCTTACAGATTACATACTGGATGATTCACAATTTGGTGGAAAGCTGCAAAACTTGCTTTTAGTGAACAGTTGGTATCTAACCCAAACACTGAAAGATTGAAATGTAAAGAAGAATGCGAACAAGGATCTCATAAAAACTTTCTTGACTACAGATTTGCTTTAAAGTCATAGGATAACATTTCTACTTTGAACCTGCTTCAGAAGAATATGTCTTGTTAATTTCAGATTAAGTTTATGAGTCAAAATCACTATAGTGATTATGATGTGGAGATAGTACATATAAATATGAAACACTTTTAACACTTTATTTTAAATATTTAAAATATACAACCTATCAACTGAATTTAGTCAGCAATCAGTTACAGCAGAGGAAAACTGGCAGGAAGCAAAATTTTATTTGTAAACATTAAATGGCCTTCCAAAGACACAATTTCAAAAAATATGACAGAAGAATCATCATAATTCATTTCTTTATCACTATAATCATGACTTTTAAAAAAATTACATCTTATATAATCTCCAGCAAAAGCTGGACAGTGAATGTTAATGAAATTTAATAACAAACCTAATAGCAGAATTTATATCCTACCTCCTATTAATGGCAGCCCACGTTGCATTAATGTTATCTGTCATCAGTTTTACTTTTCTGGTGTCATCTGCTGAATAATCACGGAGTAGCTTAAGTGCCATGTCATTTGCCACATCTACATTTATTTGCCATTGTCGTATTTCTTTTGCAAATTGCTGGAGAAAGAAAAAGAATAAGCCTCAAATCACCATAAAATGATCACACGTATTTTATGATTATTAGAGAAGATGAACAACTTATACCACCAATATAGAAACAAAAGAAAAAAAAAACTTCCTCAGATTTACTGGTAACTAAGGTCAGAATCTTTCTAAATGTTTAAACTATTTTAGTCATCAGTCCATACGACTACTTCTAACCTCTGAAAGAAGCAAGCAACCAAAATCCTAAATGCTGGATAAAACATAACAGCTCAAATTGATAAACACTGATTAGAATGTTGATTTTTTTATTTTTTTTCTGAGACACAAATAGATGGATGCGTTATTATGCATTATTCAAACTATTGCTATTTGTGATGTTGAGTTATATTGACATGGAAAATACAGTGAAATTATATGTTCTAATTTTCATTTTTGTACTGTGAAATAATTCTGATATTGGAGAATTAATACCTGTGTTTTTACTCATTTTGAATTTACTTTGTTTTAGTGAATTGTTTATGTAATTAGTGCCATCTACTGGAACAGCACTAAGTGTGCAATACAGCAAAATACTATTGATAAACTTATCAATGTCTTTATAATGCTAATTTATGCTTCTTAGTATTGAGAAAGCTTCTTAAATCTTGGTAATTCTTTTTTTTTTCCTTTCCTCTCCTCTTTCTTCTTCCTTCTCCACTCCACCTGGGCCAGCTGTCTCACTACAGAAGCGACCCAAGAAATAAGGGACACTCATTCAACCAGCAACCAGCTCCCATGTGTCTTTCCACATAAATGCACTGAAGTTACATATTTAATCCATAATGTCTAACAACAAAATGAAAGAGCAAAAACAATTGATGGTCTAATTGTATTTTTGTACTAGGCGAAGACTAACTAGCCAATCAACGGGACAATGAAAAGAAGAAAAAAGTTTGTATTTGTAAATGGAAACAGTAAATTGCATGTAAACATTAGAAGCTATTGACAAAAAATAAACAGTAAGGTTTGTCACTCTTTATTGTGCTATAATACACAAATTGAGAAATGTCTGTGAAGAAAAAGTAGCGGTTTCCCCTCTCATTCTCCCAAAGCAGTATTCCTTTTGAAACCTTTTGACTGAGATAAGGAATTCTCCACAGAAAGGGGAACTTAAATATGTAATCCCCGATTAAAGAGTCTAAATACTAAGTAAGAGTAAATACTTTTTAAATATTTTGTACACTTATGTTTTCATCTTAGAAAACCTGTAAGATGATTTTGGTTAAGATTAGGCCTGAAACATACTTGAACTTTGAATAGAGTGTAGATGGAGATTTTGGGGAGTTTGATTTTTTTTTTCCCCCAAGACCCCTTTCCTATTAAAAAGCTGCTTCAACATCTCTAGGGCCTCTCAATAACTTAAAATTGAAAACATGTACTTTATCTCTTTCCTGTGTTATTCCTTTATGAGATGTCAGATCACACAATTACTGTGCAGCAGATAACCTCAGATACCAAGACAGCAAGCTGATTTTCTATTTCAAAAAAGGGATCCTATTTATACTAACTAAACATTAGGAGGGCATTACTAACCCCTGCTCCTGAAACCCATCTGAGCATATTATGATTAAGCTCACTTAAGCTGAAGATGCCTAAAAAATTTATTTAAGTCATTCCCCTGTGTTAAGTATGGAGTAAGTGTTTACTCAACATTTAGGACTAGCCATCTTTATTATACTCTAACTTTCTCTTTGCTTAAAATTACTCTAATATACAGCTTCTCTTTTCCAGACAAAAAAACACAGCAGACTGACTGTTCACTGCCTTTTACATAACAGAAGTTACCATAACGTTTTATCTGTCTTGTAAATCAATGGCCCATAAACTTTACTCTGAAAGTAAGCTCCTTTTTGCCCACTCCCATGTGAATATAAATGACCTTATAAAACCTTCCAAACACAGATTTATAATAACAATACGGAAAGATCCATTACAAGGTTATTTCCAAAAGTGTTGTTCTCACCATTAACTTTAACATTAATCCATTAACTTCCCGACATTACAACATGAGATCATAATTTAGGAAAGAAATGATGACTATAAAGAGCTTTGCTGACAGAAACAATTTGTATTTTCTACTTTACTGGAAATTGGCCTGTAATTTTTCAACAGCTTTGAGGAGCGTATGCCTTGCTTCAACTTTGCGCACATACACTGAGAACAAAGTGTTGTGGTATGTGTTTCAACTGTCTGTCTTACCAGAGGCCCATTAATTCCTTACATTACTGTAACGAATATTTAGAATGAAATTTTTGGCATTATTCTTAATTTTCTTTTTTCTCTTAAATATTTTTCGTGTCATCTATATTTTAGCTTCTTAAAAGCACATTAAAATTTGTTTTGGTTTTTGTTTGTTTTATTTTTTTTTAAAGAAGATACTTAATTACCTTAATTTCATTTTGACATTTTTTAAAGCATTCTCTGTGGTTTTTTTGTGTTATCATTGGAATTCGTTGAGTTTATTAAAAGGCATCAAGAATTAAGGCTGTGCATTTATCATGTTACTTAGGTATAAATTTATTTTTTATTTTTAAAACACTAGTTGATGTTATTAGGAAGAAAGTCTGTGTAACTAAGGATCCTTTAGTAAAAACAAGTAATGAAATCAAAGCTGGGTTTTATTCTATTTTAGGATTGCCCAGTGGAATAAAATAAAAGATACATAGAAGTTCAAATATAGCAATATGTATGTATAGCTAATATGTATGTACATACATATTATCTGAACATGTAAATTCCCACACTGAGCAAGCATATATATCACAAATCTAGAGAATCAGGCTGTCTTTCTGTCCTTCTGTATATCTGTAGTATGTATGCTTTATTTATTTCCATAAAGATTTTTTTTTTAATTTATAGACATTTTTTTTTTTTTTTTAATCAAGGAATTCTATTCCACTGTCTGCATTACATTCAATAACATTAACTTAATTTTTAATTGTTTTACTAAAATCCAAAATATGCAGACACTGTACTGCATACTGTATTAGTACACGGGGAGTGCCAAAATAATACTTGCTAAGTTAACTGCCCCTGTAAGAAGATGACAAGGCAAGAAAGCCTGAGTTTTACCCACAAAACTGAGGCATAACGTTTACTCCCCAGACTATGTCAGTGGGAGGTTGCCTGGTCTTCTGTAACCCAACAGAGCAGGGAAATGTAATCAGACTGTTATATAATTTCCTATTTAGATGAATGAGAAATAAGTTGTCAAAGAAAATAAGAAAGGAAACTTTGTCTCCACCCTCCTTTCTCTTCATTGTGGACATCCCAGCTAAACTGGTACAGAGGGAGAAGACATGCCTCAATAGCTCTTACCGAAGTAAGGAGAACAGGAGTGAATGGGCAATCCTAGCAGGTTTATATTTTTCAATATAAGCCCAGTATTGCATTAAGAGACCAGTTTTACACTAGCTGACGTTCAGATGACCTGAGGATGAAAAGAAGCTGAAGTGTGAATTTGTACTATTTATACACCTATGACCTTCAGCCTGCTGAGTTAACCATCTGCAGTCATCACTTAATAAACAACAAAAAACAGGGCTTTAATGGCTAAAGACTCTCACTGGCCAAAATGCCATATTCTTATTCTCCTTACCTAACCCCAGTACCTAGAATCTAGTTCTCAAGTAGCAAAATAAAAAAAAGAATAGAATGAAAAACATGTTCTAATGCTTAGCAAATTAGCTCTGAATTAATCTGAATTCAAAGGAGTAATTCTTCTGATTATTATATTGGATTATATTTATGATAATATATTTGATAATTATATGGTAACTGGTTAAATGCCAGAAACTTGTCAAATTCTGTTAAAAATACCACTGGCCAAATGCAAGCCAGTTACAGATTTTTGCTTTACAGTGGCGCTGGAAACAAATATAAAAACCTCATGTGTAAGGAGACACTAATAGAAAAGCATTAACACAAACACTGATTTACAGGTCAGTTAGAGGGGAATTTTTACATTGACTCTGTTGTCTTTAGGCAGACTTATAATATTTAATGAACAAATCAGAAGAACATTTGGTGAATACTTTCTCACACCAAGCTGTGTTGGGATACAGAGCTGACAAAATGAATATGTCTGAAGAATTTATTTAAGACTCACACTGACCTCTCTCTTTCCCTCAACACAAATGAATGGAAATGACAGCTTTATTTTCATCAGTGTAACAGGAAGCCAAAAGACAGCATACTTGCTGTATATATTCAGGGAAAAACATAAAAAAAATGTGTTTGGCACAGAAGCCTGGAAAACATTTCTTTACAGGGCTTGATGTGTTTCTAGGTCCTTCAGTTTAGATAATACTGTACAGAAGAAATCTAAAGCTGGTAAACTCAAAAAATATTTCCATTTTTGTTTGAATTCATGACCCCTTATCTCAAGCATGAACAAAGCTGATGCTGTCACATCTGAGAAGCTTTCATGAGGGATTTGACACAATAGGAATTACTGGCAGACAAAGATAATTCTTCTAGGAAAACTGGCACAAAAGAAAGAAAAAAGAAAATAACACACCATCACCACCACCCCCATTCTCTAAGACAGAGGTGAATTTCTTCCAGACTTGAGGAAGAAAGGCTAGGTAAAGCCAAACAAATGAAAGTAAACAACCATGGAACAGTAGTGCTTGAGGTTCGTGAAGGCACAGCAAATTAAGATGGACTACCTGTGACAGTGAAATTAGAATTACAGAGTAATGTCTGTCTGTAATTTGACACAACACGTCACACTGAATCCAGACTGGGATGGGGATGGCTGAAAATACTGATAGCCCAAGTCCTTCATCTCTTTTAAAAAAGGAGTGAACGGAATCTACAGGTATCATTTCAAAAACCCTGTTTATTCATAGAGATATACTCTTGTGACTAAGTATACTAGTATACTTTATAAATTGATGGATGGAGAAGGGCACATTTATTTCTCTCCTTGGAAAATGTTTCTCCAAAACCCCTATAATTTTTTTCAAAAAGCATACACTTTTAGATGAACTTCACCTGAACCTCATATATCCCTGTAAAAAATCTGAACCTCCTATATTCTTGTAAAAAAAAATCCATTTCTACACCTCAATTTTCAATTATTTTCCTAGTTAAGTAATTTGTGGTCAAGATGTAAGACACTCCAACACAATGCCATAAGACTGTTTGCACAGAACTGGTGTTTTGTTAATTGAGTCTTTGCTGAGCTGGGACACTGAGCTTCTTGAAGCTTTTTGTCAAAAAAAAACAAAACAAAACAACTAAACAAAACAAACACAGACTAGGCAGAAGCCAGAACTCTATCTGTGCAGAAAGACAGTGACAAATGGGAGTCCTCTATACTGAATGACAGTAGCTGTACAGAACCTATAATGCTTTCCAATCCATTAGTGAGTGATTGACCTTGTTTACCCTAATCCACCATTCCCAAGCAATGACCCTTATGGTATAATCTTAAAGGAGAAAACGTAACTACACCTTGGCCCTAAAGCAATGGTCTGATGAATGTTTTTATGCTTCTCACAAGCAAGCAAAAAGAAAAAGAAAAAAAAAAAGAAAAAAGTAAATACCCAAACAGATTTTCTTATCTACTGCTAAATATCAGAAAAATGAGTAACTGACGATGGACATAGCTGAAGACCAGTTGTGCAGTTATACTCATGCTTTGGTGGTAAAATCAGTTTGATGAGGACCTCACCCCCTTATTCTTCACAGCAGTTCATTACCATTCAACTGTGAAAATAAGACTGTTCTAAGTCCACAAACATTAACCAAATAGCTGAGTGGTAGGAGTTAAAAAGTCCTGGTGGGCAGGAAAGTATAACATACAAAAAATATTTGTGTAACTATTCTCCCAAATAACTAAGATGCAGCATTCAATTAACATGGAGGCAAGACTCACTTTAAGAGGCTTATCGATCTTATATTTCTCCAACCAGAAAATGAGATATTATTAATCTGAAACAGCTGTTAAAATTTATTCATGAAGAATGTCACCAAAGTATGACCATTTCTATAACAAGAAACTTAAAAACTGATGTAACACTTAGGGTATATTTGCATTGCTACTTGAGCTATAGCTCAACTCATAAGTTAACTGAGGTGCATATATTATCACCTAAAATGTGACAACATATGTGCTAAAATCACAAAAGCAGCCATTACAGACTTTTTTTTGCAGTTAATAACCCTGCTAAGGTTGAACTCAGTGAGATTATCTTGCAGCAAATCTAAGATGCTTGATTCTCAAAATATTTCCATATAGTTTGTTATGTTTGGTTGGTTTTTTTTCCCCTTTTCTTTACTAATTCCAGATAATTTATACAGCTTAGTTATTAATGCAGACAGACACACCAATGCCATAGGGTTTGGGAGTCTGCAGCTTAGGCTATTGTACAGAAGATATGAGAAATACTTGTGTTGGAAAGGTAGGTATTCTTCCTGCAAGTTCAGCCAGCTATTTGTTATGACTGATAAATTAAGACTCATTTCATTCAAGGATTATGTGCCACGCAATTTAGACATTGTAAGTGAATTTCTTTCTAATATTTTTGTGGGAAATAAGGGATAAAGAGGTTGCTCTCAATGTGTACTGTGCAACAGTTAGAGGACATTTTCTTTAACAACCTAATTAACTCAAACTGAAATACGTTATTTCTCAGTAGTGACCTTAAGCTCCGTATTCTGCTTTTTCAGAGCTTCCACGGTGTAGGAAATTTCTTTCCATGACTCAAGTTTAGCTTTTGCTTGTTCAAGAACCTGCTCAGCTTCTTGTTTAGCTTCTAGCCACTGTGCTGAATCCTTTAACATTTCATGAAGCTGTTGTCTCCGGCTTTGGAGGCGTCCATGCACTTCATCCCACTGGCTCTGTATCTTTTCAACTGGTGAAACACAAAGGAAAAACAAAAGCTAAGTCACTTAAAAGTTTTTTTTTGTTTGTTTTGTTTTGTTTTTTTTTCATTTCTTCTGAGGGAGTAAAAAATATTAAAATTTTTTTAGAACTGATCATATTGGAAAGCTCTTGTACTTCTAAGCTGCAACTGCAACCAAGTTCAGTTTTACAAAGAACAGACAAACTGTTCTAGGTCACACAGTACGACACTATGGTAGACAGTATGCGTTTCAGTACAAATGCAGCCAGAAATGCCAGGTTCATGCCCCAAAAGGCATTATGAAACAGGATCACATTTGAGAAGTATCAGCAGTAATTTTTCTTTCTTACCAAATTAACACCAGGTTTAACATTTTCTGAAGAACAAGTCCTTTAGGTACTTCAGTAATATTAAAGATTTATTGCAAGATATAATTAATAGCTATACTTTCATTAAGGCAAAAGTTATCAGACTGCAAACAATGAAAAAGTTTCTTATATGTCCATGTTAATTATAAAATAATGATTAGCTTTATTCAGTCTTTGAAAGAAATATGATTTGCGGAAACTTAATAATCATTACAATCTCTGATAACAAGTGTTGGTTAGCATCCAGCATCAGACTCATCCATAGTAGCATAAAAAAAACAAAGACCTAGTTGTCCAAGCAGTTTGACAAGAAAAAACAAACCAACCAACCAAAGAAATATACAAACAATAAAATATATGCAATGGAATAATAGGAAGTTATTTGTTTATTTATTTAATTCCCTGAGGTTGGTCAGCACAAACTATATTCTTAATATTTTCTGGAAGACTGCCTCCCTACATTGAAAATACATGGGTCTTCTAGGGAGCAGAACAGAGATTCCTAGAGTTTTCAGAAAGCAATTAAAATTTGAACGGTAGTTCCAACCCTCCATCTTTCAGTGCAGGCTGAGAACAGTGGAGGCTAAAGACAAAAGGGATGAAAAGTGCTTCAGCAGCGAAAAGAGACTTCTACCGATCACTGCTGCTCCTTCTTCTAGAAGGGAGAAAGATCTTTCCATGGACTCAGCTGAAGTTTAGACAAAGAGAAGAAAACCCTTCAGCAACCCCTGCTCAAGCCATGGGTGAAAAACTGTAAGCATACACAGCAGCACATTCAAGTCAAAAGCAATGCAAAAGAAAGTGCAAAACAACTGGAAAACACAAAGCACAATCAAATCAAAGCAAAGATAGCCTAAGGACTAAATACTTAAATTTAATTGGAAACAAATCTAACCCCCCATTTTAGAAAGCTGTATACAAAGGCCACAAAACAGCAGCTCATTTCTGTGCCCTATCTGGATGCGGATTGCTGATGTAAGCTTTAGGGTATACTTGAAGCAACAAAAAGATTGTGGTCTACAGGCAGGGTGAATAACAGAATTATTCTCAAACTGCTCAAGTAAAATCTCTGTGCTATGGCTACAGCATGTGGCTCAAGGGTTGTGCTGGAGGTCTACCCAGACACTTTCCACAGTGTTGCTGGCATATGGCCCACAGCTGCAACCTGTTTCTTGCATATCATTACTTGAGCTCCTTCCCCCTTAGACTCTGAGACATTCAGTGTGTTATCTGTTGATTCCTGGCAACCTGGAGATTTTGGTACACAGCTGGCAAAATTACAATAGTTTGTTTATGTCAGCTCTCCATGAAAAAACAAATGAACAACACCCCACAAAAAAAAAAAACAACCCACAACAAAACAAAAAAACAAAAACCATAAAAATACTAACTTTGTTTTATTGTAATTTTCTTTGTTGGTGTAGGTATTGGGGGAGAGGGAATTGAAAGATGAATGAAAACTGTTGCAAAACTACTTTAAAAGAAATATGGGTCTGTAACTATATTAATTCCTCATAATAGTTGCATTTAATAAAAAATACTGATCTTTTTATCAACAAAAATATTTATTGATGGATCTGTTCCATAATGTTTCATGAGATTTGTATCTAAGACAGACATACTAGCAGTCCTTCTCTAGAGGTTGTGCTTTTCTCAGCAAGACTTGAGTTTTTGTCACTGTTTAAGCCCAGCCAGTAACTCAGAACCACGCAGCTGTTCGCTCACTCCCTCATTTCTTCTCCCCAACTCGCAGTGGGATGAGAAGGAGAACTGAAAGAACATTAACCCCATGGGTTGAGTAAAAACAGCCCAGTAACTGTATAATATTCAGTTACTATCACCAATAATAATATGATAAGGGAAATAAAAAGGGGAGAGAATACAATTGCTCACCACCCACCGACCGATACCCAGTACAACCCGAGCAGTGATCCAGGCCTTTCAGGTGGTCCCCCAGGTTGTATACTGTGCATGATGTGCTGTGGTATGGAATACCCCTTTTGCTAGTTTGGGTCAGGTGTCCTGTCTCTACTCCCTCCCCGTGTCTTGTGCCACTCCTTACTGTCAGAGCATGAGAGACTGAAAAGTCCTTGATCAGGGTTGTTACTTAGCAACAACTAAAACATTGGTGTGTGATCAGCATTCAACCTTAGTCAAAAACACAGCACTGCACCAGCTACTAGGAGGGAGAAAAATAACTGTTACAGCTGGACCCAGGACAGTTTTTCATCAGAAACCAGTCCTGGGATTCCGTGGTGACCAATTCTCCCATTCAGGAGGGGAATGAAGCTGCATAATGAAAGCTGTATTCAGGACCTCTCAGGAGCCCATTTACAAAAGTGACTATGAATACACAAGCTCCAAATCTATGAAAAACTTTTCCTTGTGAAAATAATTGGGTTATTTCCCTTAAATAGGCAAAAGAAAAGCTTCTGACATGGACACTTAAAAAATAATGTGCCTAATAATTTTGCTTTATTACAGATTGGAATTGAAGAGTTCAGGAAGTTATTAGGTACACCAAAAAGAATTAAAATTTTGTTTTCTTGAAAGACTGAGTTATAAAACTCACTGAAAGTACTTCAGTTGAGGATAAACACACTGTGACATCTACATAATTAATCTAGCCTTTCTGAGCTAGAAGAGACCAAACAGTGCAGTACTATATGAGACAAAATACGTAGAGACACTTATTAGAGAGGCCTTTATAATTATGACGTTATTTAGTTAAAGGTAACATAAAAATCCCTTCATTACTGTGAACTTACATTTTCTAAATGATGCTTCCATTTGAATGCATACTATTGGTTGGTTTGTAAATAACCAAAAATCCTCAAGCCTCTAAGGCTTAAAATATGAGAATTGGCTTCAAAAAATGTAACGAAAACCACAGTGTAAATCAGTGTCTCTTAATGATGGGTTTTGTTCCTGCAGATGTTCTTTAGTGGGATACACCTTCCCACAAAAGGAAAGGTGTATACCACTTACAGATATATGCCAAATGAAAAAGTTCATAAAACCCAACTTGAGTGTATATTGTGTTAGATCTGATCCTGGCAACCCATGAACCTCTCACCTGCAGTTAATGAGTTACTGACCACAGATGAGAAGGGTCAGAGAATTGCTATTAAATGATGTTGGACACTAGAATTTTTTAAAGTATTCTTAACATCATCAGGTTTTTGTACAAGGGCAATGGAATATACAAAAGGCTTTCTCTGACTCGGTATTAATAGGAATATATTTGTGAAAACATTTAAGAATGCTTTATAAGATAACAATGTGGAATCTCAATACAAAGTTTTTTCAAGCTAACACCCTTCCTATAGCCTTTGAAAGCTTATTTCTGTTGTTTGGTCTTTATAAAATCCTTAAGGTTATGATGAACATATGGGATTCAACATAGAGAAAATTTAACTTCTTCCAAAGTCCAAACAACCTTACCTGGAACCAGGAACACAAACTTAGAAACAAGAAATTAGTTCCATACCCATAAAAATAGAAGAATCAACGTCAAGAGAAGCAATTGTTCCAGAAAAGAATTTGTCCCAGTTTTGGAGAACTAAAGAAAAATTTGATAGCTACTTTGATCACTTGTATTTAAGGCCTTCAATAAGTAATAGTCACTAAATTTAAAAAAAAAAATAAAAAATAACCAGATAAGGTTATTGCAAAGATTACAAAATATCTGGAAACATAAGAACATTTAATATGGCTTAAAAAAGTAAGTTTTGCCAGGAAAAAGTAATGTAATTGTCCTTACTGCACTCTGAATTATAATAGCATATTAATGAGTTCAGATTCTGATCTTCATCTTTTACATATTACTGCATCTACATACTGTGATGAATACATATTGAAAATGCCTAGATAGTCAGAACAAATTTGGCTCCATGTGCACTATTAATATCACTGTAGCACAGAAATATTAAATAATTAGTAACAATGACAAAAGTCTTTTTTTCCCCATAGTTCAGTAGTTTCTGAAGCAACTCAGTTTACATTGTTCATTAAAGCTAAATCCCGTGCCTTCTCCAATTCAGAGAGTAATCTCTTTTTTAATGTGGCACTTCCCCTCTGTATCCAGTTTTCTCTTTCCCCCTCTTTCCCCACCAAGTTTGGCAACAGCATAATATCTTTATTGTAAGAATCAGTATTTGAAATTATCTCAATGGGATTAATAAAAAATATCTGACAATTAACAAATCTAAACCAAGAAAAACAAAACAGGTTATACCCTGAAGTGAAACCCAAACCCCATTAAATTCCTAATCACAGTGCTCCAGGCAGAAGTCCTCATTGTACTTCATTTACACAAGTTTTGCTGTTGCTTACTGGAAAGTGTCCCAGCATGGATCCAACTGCTCCCTTTCCAACACTGAACACTCTCAATTGAGTAATTTAGGACATAGCAATAGTCTACCAGTATGTAATTTCAAGGTTGCTATTCAATTTCTCTTTTTTCATTACTACTATTCACTAACTGCTCAATAGTGATTATGTCACTAAGATAGACAAAAGAGTTTCTGCTGGACTGATCACAGATTTAGTAAGTTATTAGAAACAATAATAAAGCAGCCAAACACAAGATAACTACTTTTCAATCTGGTTACCATTGATTTAGTACATTGAGGGAAGAAC